AGAATTAAAATAAAAAAAAAAAGAATAAGAAATGCATTCACTTTTACAAATCGCATAAAGTAAATAACGACGCCGACGTTATTCGAATAATCCAAAGGATGACGGTTTTTGGCTCCAAATTCTTTAGGGCAAGACCAATTGACGTGAAATTTGGGCAGTAAGTAGGGACAAGCTCAAGGTTCAGAAGTTATAAAGTACCCATGTGTGTTTTTATTCTAGGGGTGGTTGCCCGTAAGAGGTGAAAATTGGCGCTCTTAAAATAACTGTAGAAATCAATAGTGAGGTAAATTCTAAGCAAAAAATGTCATATACATATTTTTATATAAATCAATGCTTTCCGAGTTATTCGCAATTGAAATTGCTGTTTTTCCATCAAAGAAATGTATGATGTTTTGGTACAGTTTTTCACGAATAACGTAAGAACCATGCGTTTTTACAAAAAGCGTACTGAACCAAAAATGAAAGTTTTCAAACAGCAAATCGATTAGATGTTTTTTTTTTGCTTCTGTACATTAAACTCTTGAAACTAATTTTTATGTGGGTTTCACAATTAGGGGTGGTTTGTAAGGGTTAAAAAATTCAAATTACTCATAAGTACCTACATACCAGTATATGAAAGAAAGGTTATTATACACATTGGATTATCATTTTATCGAAGTGCTGCTTAAATGTGTTGTTTTTCAATTTTTTGTCAAAACGGGTTGTTCACTCACCACTTAAAAATAAAATTCACACATCAGAGACATATAACTTTCATAGACAAGGGGAAGAACAATCGATGCTGCCCGAAAGAATTCGAAGGTATTTCTCTATTGTTATCGTCATCCACTGGACTAAAAGGACACATGGGCTTCTGTTTTGATAGCACTTGAGTGGACTTGCTATCAATTAAATTTTTGTAGACACCGCGTATACTATATTTTCCGAACAAACAAAATAAAAATTTCTCTCAATTCTATGTAGCCAAGGCGACGAATCAAAAGTTCAATTTTTCCCAATATGCGTTTGATAAAAAATCGAATATCCAAAATAAATATCTTAATATTTTCTTTTACATTATCGAAATCCGCTTCAAGTAATTTCGATGTTTACCTTTGGTTGGTCATCATCTCCACAACAGCCTTTTTGATGTCGTCCTTTGTTGCCGATTCGAATTCCATTTCCAGGCCCATTCCAGACTCGACCAGTTTTTTAACGTTCCCTTTCTGATCCCCGAACATGGGGAAACCAATCATTGGCACCTTGTACGCTACAGCTTCCTCGATCGATTGCAAACCTCCCTGCGTTATAAATAATTTCACGTTCGGATGTCCTAAAAAAGGAATTTATTATTAAACTTCATTTAGACGACGGTTATGTATAATAACGTCACGTCATACTTAGGATGTCCTGTTGAGATGAAAACCATCTTCTCAGAAGTACTTTGCTTGTGTTCACCGTTAAACTGTCATCGTCGTGCTTCCAAATGATGTGATAAGGTAACTCGTTAAAAACTTCCCCGAATTGCCTAAAAGTACTTTTTGAGGCACTGTTGATCTTAATTGACGAGCCTAAACTGAAGTAAATTGCTCCACCAGAAGCTTTGTCCAAAAATTCTTTTATATCCTAGNAAACTTCCCCGAATTGCCTAAAAGTACTTTTTGAGGCACTGTTGATCTTAATTGACGAGCCTAAACTGAAGTAAATTGCTCCACCAGAAGCTTTGTCCAAAAATTCTTTTATATCCTAGAAACAACACCAATAATTATCTATCATCACAAGGTCATCAGTTCTAAAACTGGTTGGACACGCACTTCCACTCATTCTTATCCTGAGCTAATCTTCGCATTTCCTTAAAACTGATATAATATCCCACACTATTTGTGAACAGAAATCTAATCTAGGTCTACCACTGCTTCTCTTACCTCCTGTTTCTATTTCTAATATGTCTCTATGTAAGCCCTTCATGCCTGAGAGGGCGTCCTACCAACCTATCTCGCCTATATCTTAATGACTTCCATAGTCAACCTCTGTTCTTCCTAAAAGAATTTTTGGGGGCATTGTTGATCTTAATTGCCTAGCCCAAACTGAAGTAAATTGCTTCCCCAGAAGTTTTGTCCAAAAATTCTTTGATATTCTAGAAACAACACCAATAATTATCTATCATCACATCATCATTACAAGGTCCCCAGTCCTATGACTAATCGGACACGCACTTCCATTCTTATCGATCCTGAGCTAATCTTCCCATTTCCCTAAAACTGATATAATTTCCCACATCCTTGAGTATTTGCGAAAGAAATCTAATCTAGGTCTACCACTGCTTCTCTTAACTCCTGTTTCTATTTCTAATATGTCTCTATGTAAGCCCTTCATGCCTGAGAACCTATCAACCTATCTGACCTATTTCTTAATGATTTCCATATTTGACCTCTGTTCTTCCCAAAAGAATGTTTGGGGGCACTGTTTATCTTTATTGGCGAGCCCAAATTGAAGTAAATTTCTCCAAAATTCTTTTATGTCCTAGAAACAATACCAATTATCTATGACCATATCACCATTACAAGGTCGTCAATCCTAAAACTGGTAGGATCTCCACTATTTCCTATCCTAGCTAATCTTCGCATTTCCCTAAAACTAGAATATTCCACATCCTTAACTATTTGTGAACAGAAATCTAATTTTAGTCTACCACTGCTTCTCTTAACTCCTATTTCTATTTCTATTACGTCTCTATGTAAGCCCTTCCTGCCTGAGAAGGTGCTCTATTAACCTATCTCGCCTATTTCTTATTGACTTCCATAGTTACCCTCTGTTCTCCTATTCTTTATCTACTACTTCTCCATTTCTAATCTTCTCTATCTACATTTCGAACGCTTATAACGTTTGGGTACGTGTCGTATAGATTAAATTAGAACAAAACTAACTTGCCGTAGTATAATAATTATGTTAACGCAAATAGTCTCTAATGTTTACTAATACTAATATTCTGTTACAGATGTACCTGGCCCATTTACAAATATGATCCTTGAAGAAATGTAAGTGATTATACCTATTAACCCTGAGAAGGTGTCCTACCAACCTATCTCGCCTATTTCTTATTGACTTCCATAGAGTCCTCTGTTCTCCTATTCTTTCTAATACCTCTCCATTTCTAATCTTCTCTATCTACATTTCGAACGCTTATAACGTTTGGGTACGTGTCGTGTAGATTAAATTAGAACAAAACTAACTTGCCGTAGTATAATAATTATGTTAACGCAAATAGTCTCTAATGTTTACTAATACTAATATTCTGTTACAGATGTACCTGGCCCATTTACAAATATGATCCTTGAAGAAATGTAAGTGATTATACCTATTAACTTTGTCGTTACAATAGATACGAATTCTCGATTAATAATTTCAAATGTATCAGTGTTTAAAAATTGTGCTTTAACGCCAAACTAAAAGTACTGTTAATTGTTCTTGATCGTCAAACATCAAACTTCTTAAGGTACAATTATTTGGTAGGCGCATTCACCATTTTTTCGAAATGTAATTGCTTCTTTAACATTTATATAAATTATCGGCAAATTATTCCACTTACTTCAGGCAAAGGTTTCGGAGGCGTTAAATGTAACCCATTAACTTCAATTAACGCTGGTACCTTTGCATGGACTTCCGTTATTCCTGGGACTACATTAGAAATAACGAGACTCGTCTTGTCTTTCTCTAGTGCCGCGAGATCCACGTCTTCTCCGTGAGACAAATATTTCTTCACTAATTCCGCTTGTAGCGGATACAATATTCCCTGCACTTGAGCATTAAATAAGAATGTATAAACAGCGTTTACGACTTTTTCAAAGACATTCAACTTTCTTCCGAACGGCAGATTTCCATCTACAGTTTCCAAAAGGTGATTCGGATTACCGATGTTGTTTAACGTTATAATATGAGCAGGCATGGAGGTCATCTGTATCAGGGGACATTTGAACTTTTCACTTAAGTAGAAAAAAGCGGGAGGTACAAATTCTGCTAATACTACGTCGAAATTAAGAGAACTGTCGTTAAGGAAAGCATTCGTCTCAGGACGCTTGAGGATTTCTTCTGTCAGATTTTGCAACATCGTTGTTATTCCCTTCCATAAAATTAATCCATTGCTAGGAACTTCATCCTGTAAAAATATTAAAGGGTATATTTTTCTCTAAATTTTTGACGAAATTAATAAATCTATTTACAACAAATTGTATGTTAGGGAACGTACCCATACTACGTGACCCTGGGGGGGAGTAAGTCTTGAAGAATACCACGTTTGGTCATAGGGACAAGGGAGACCTAGATTTTCGTCATGTAATCATTATCCTCTAGCTATATTCAAATATGACGGGCAATATTTAGCGCTTTTTAAACTATTGGTTAAATTATTTGTGAATTACTGCATGAAAACTAGAAGGAAGAGGGGTCTTGGCATATATTAAGGGGGGTTACTGAAGGGGGAGAGAGGTAAAAACTTGTAAAAAATGAATCACGTATTATGGGGACGTTCCCTTATATGGATAACCGTGCGAAACTCGAATAATTCTATTAGGATTCTCATACTATAAAAACAATAAGAAAAATATTGTTAAAAAAGAACAAATGTTTTAAGTTATAGGAGAAGCGCACTTATTGCGTGTGAAAACAAACAAAAGTTCTAGAGGTAGGTACGTTGAATGTTAATGTTGTCCTTTCAAGGTAAAATACACACGCACTTGCATATGTATGTTAAAACAATAAAAACTTGCCTATTGTATAGATAATTGATAAATTTCACGTTCAAGTAGCACTGTCATAATATAAACTTATCAATTATTTACACTACAAATGCTCATAAAGTCAATGACTGTACTACATAGTACCTATAGAAATCTAAAACCTGAAAAAAAAATTTTTTATGCTTAACAGTGGCAAAAAGTGAACATATCGAAGTGAGATATAGACACTCATGAAAAAGATATGAAATGTCTTTTTTTTTGTCGAATCCACTAATAAAAATTGTTCCTATATTAAGAACAAGCAATTACCAGTTTAAATTATATGGTGCATAGTATATATTAAGTAAACATTAGACATAAGTATAAAAGAAAATTAAGATAAATAAATATTGTACATCTTAGGACCAATTCATTAATTAATTATCTTATTCTATATGAAAAGTATTCCACTTAAAATTTGTGTCTATCACTTCAAATGCTATAAGCGCACAATTACTTAACGAATATACCTTGAGGTGAAAACAAATTTGAAAAATCCACACATTTTGAAATTAATGGGTATATAATCCAGGATCTTATCATTATAGTTACTTATACTGTTTAACGACTTTTTAAAATGTATCACATATATGTTAAACTAAAAGTGACAGTTTTAAAATCAACTAGATATTTGTTTCAAAACTTTCTCAACTTTTTTCAGCAGAAATTGCATCAACTTCAACTTGCTAAAAAATATAGATAAGGTAATTCAATCACCGAACATATAAATTATACGTTTTCTTATGTCGCATGAGAAAATAATTTATATTTTTTAACCACATCTGTCTAAAAATATCTATTACTTCTCTGAAAACTGTTCTAAATTAACAAATATTGCGAAGACTTAACACCCTGTAGGACTTACTTTTAGCTTTTATGGTTTAGATGCTATTTGGTCTCATTCAAAGAGCTGAAATCGTTTTTTTTTTTTTCAAAAACACTTGAATATCTCAAAAATTACTACAGATAGGTATAGGAAACTGTTAATAAAGTCAACCTAAATTTAAACAAAGAAACTGAAAATGTAAAAATATATGGGGTATTCCTTTTAAAATGTGGAAGTTAGGTAGCGTCCATACGAAATGTACGACTCAAATTACTTTTTGTATATGCACCATATGACACTAAAGCACTTTTATAAAATAAAAACATTTTTTTATTAAATGTTTAATAACAGAGTTCTGAATGAAACCGCCTTGGGTAGAACACCCTGTATAGAGCAAAAACTTAATATTACGTATCACACTTACTTTTTCAAACAATTTTTGTTCTTCGGCCATTTGAAATATATAGCTGATATCAATTTCCTTTAAATTTTTTATACTGGGATCCTTCAAAGGCACTGCGGTCATCACAGTCACATTATGACCCCTATGAGCCAATTCTTCCCAAACAGCGCGAAAAAACATCTGATGACTTTTCGCGGGGAATGTGAACACCCCCAATATATTATACCCTTCCCCATTGTCCACGAAAAATAACAACAGCACAACAACCAGCCGCACAGTTGTACCCATCTCACTAAAGCTTCGCTTTTTACATAAATGCTTTATTTATACTGTCACACACATACGCAATGTAGTAATTATCTGGCATTTATTACTAGTGATAAAGACCTTCACGATATTCTATTTACTTAATAACAATAATGACTGTTGTAAACAATAACGGGGCGAATTCAGTCAATACTGCTCGCGATCGTGAAGGTATGATACATGGAATTGAGCCAATATGTACTAGACTTGACCCAACGACACTTACATACCAAAATGTGTGTACCACGATATCTTTATACCATTAAAAGTCGATACCCATTTGACAATAAGTTTTATTGCACTTGCATGGGTACGTCAAAGAACGCAAAATTACTTTTTAATAAGAAAACTATTTAGTGTAATCGACGGTCAAATAAAACACTTTTTCATTGACGCTATTTTTACTAGGTTCTTTAAGATAAAATACTACTAGTAAAATATTTAAACAAAACAATTTATTCAGAAAACCTGCTTTACATTATTTTCAAAAAGACAATTGTCAGGTCCACCAAGCGTTTCTTTTTGTTTTGTTTAACCAATTAGTAATATTGTTTCATCAAGTATCGAATAGCGAGTCTACTTTTAAATTGGAAATTCCTGTAGAGAAGTAAGTGATACTTTGAGATAAACATAGTGTAACTTCCAATTATGCCATACCTCGATATTAACGAATTTAAGAGTTGGGATTTAAAAATTTCTTCATATCATTTGCGGTCAGATAAAATAATGCTACTGCGTCTAATGGTTAGTTCCTGGCTGCAATATTTACAAGTAATCAAAAAATACAGATAGATATTTCTAATTTTTGCGCCATTTCTATCCAAACGGATCTTACATTGTACAACAACAAATTTTCGTGAAGAGTAGAGAAAAAGTTTGTGTTTTAAAATCATAACTTCCTAGAAAAACCAAATGACCTTTTCTTATCATTTATCAAAGTTCATGCCAGTTGTTGATTTGCACGATCAATTTGAAACAAAACATTTGACGTAAGAATAAAAAGAAACGCATCCGAGTTATATAATATCGACTTATGACAATGTATTTCCATCTACCGGTATTTACCGCTAACTAAAGTATATTAAACATTGGATAAGGACCTTACCAAGGTACCTACCTGGTACCTTTATTTTTATATAAAATATTTCACGGGCTGATGCCCATTTGCATGACACAACAATATACTTAAATGTAAATATTAATCGCTAATTTCGAGATATTAGTTAATAATAATAAGAACGGATTAATTTATTGAAACTATCAGGCGGAGGTTGCGATTTTAATCATATTTTATCTCATCAGCACGCCATAGACACTAAAAGATAAAACATCTACCAAAATGAACATGAACATGAACATTCACCGAAATTTGAATATAAATCAATAGCAAAATGAGTAACTAAATTACTATTATCTATTGAATTATTTAACAGAAAATAGTAGATAATTTTGCATCATCATCATTATTATACTGATAGTTGAGAAAGGTCCTGTGCACACTTAATCCGACATACGTAAAAAAACATAATCACACATAATTATCAACGGATAAAATGATAACTATTATCGTAATAACTAATAAAAGGTGAAGTAAAACATCCCATAAATTAAATGATGCAATACATAATTTTTGTAGTTACCTGCATATATTTAATATATTTGCTATAAAAATATATAATTTGAATATTTGTAGGGAAGAAGCAATCAAATGACAAACTGATTTTGAGTTTCCTTGACTTTTAATATTATCATCAGATATAAATATTTTAAAACGTAAAATTAAATTTATCAGAATAAAATTTATAAACTACATTACTTTTTATATACATAAGGTCGCATAATCGGATCATTTTTTATGTCTTCATTACAATACATTTAAAATAAGTACCTTATTCTAACTAATATTATAAATGTGAATGTATTTATTAGAGATGTGCAAAATGGTTTTTTAAAAGGATTTAAATACAGAATGCAAATAGTTTTTTAATTTGTTAAGTATTTCAAATTTCCCTTTTGTATTTTAAATGCTAAATGCAAAATACGAATTTATAAAATACTTTTTTCAAATAAATACCTTTTTTGTAGAACCTATTTAATTTTCTACATTTACTTAAGTGTAAAATATTTTTTGAGAAAACCTTAGAAACATTTGCATATTGAAGTTTTTCTAGTTTATAATGGTATTTACACTATATCACCAGCTGCGAAGACAGACTATTATTCATATTTTTCTCTTTGAAGTGATAGAGATATAGACTCTTTCTATCTTTATGTTATAGTTTCTTTAATTCAGCAACAAATAATTCTTTTATATGGTTCCTTATTTACCTTTGTTATCTGTTTTAATTGGAAAAAAGACACTGACGTTAAAATAGTTTGTTTAGCATGAAAGATCAGAGCTAAAATAGGGTTGCAAATAATTTTATTGATGTAATTGTAACATCAATTATTTTATATCAAAATATTTACAACCCCATTTTGTTGCCGATCTTTTACACATTGCAATAAGAGAAAGAAATGAAATCCATAGTTTCTTTAGCTTTGAGTTCATTTAACAAGTAAGTTTTTCGAATCGTTTTCTAAGAATTTTGGATTATTTATTAGCATATCACAATATCTTGTAGTTTCCAGTTTTACACACATGGCGTATATCAATTCGATATTGTTTTGCGGGCTATTCTGTCGTAATTTTTTTTGCTATTTAAAAGTATGAGAGAATAAAAGTACTATGATGATAATTGGATAAAAAAAATAAAATTTACTGGTACCTACATTCATTTTGTATTCTCTATAAATAAATATCTGCATGATATGCTGATATCTAATATCAAAATAATGATAATAATGCCTGTAATTTTATAAAACAAGCACGAGATATTACAAAACTCGAAAAGATGTGTGAATTTACGAATCAATTCTAATCGAGATAAAGAGAGAATGCGTGATATTGAATTTTACATTCCATTGATCTGTGGTAATCAATTAAATGTTTATTTGATGAAATTTATTTTATTACATAATTATTAATCACATTTTAACGACTTTTACAAGTAAATTTTTCTAAAGGGAACTATAAAAAGGATCTTTCAAAAACAAAGTGCTGAAGGAATTTTACTTTGATGTTTTTTTTTAAGTTTGCTTATTAAGAAATCTAAAAATGTAGTTCTTAACTTAAACTTTTCCTAACTCGGAAACAAACTTTTGATTGTCTCATACAGTTTCTGAATTATCATTTTGTATTTACGTAAAGCATAAGGTACTTAACTTTTACAACAAATTTGCTACATAAACAAGCAAATAAAAAAAACTGGATTGTAATACATAATTGTAGTCGTATAATATAATCAGTATTATTTCAAATTCGTACTTAAATTGGATCTTCACAACGTGAAGATTAATAATTTTTAATTACATTGAAGACAAAGTAATGACGTGTATTTATTGTTCATGTATAAAAGTTAGACTTAATTGCTATAAAGGAAAATAATATCGGTGAAGGCATTATGCTTTGCTTAACTTAACATAGGTAATTAATTAATATTAAACTTACTGTGTGTAAGTACTCATAAACTTCAAAAGGTTTAGGGGATGAATAATGATTAACGCTAAAAAATATATTCCAACAAAGTTTTATTTCATCCAATTTGCTTAATTAAAAAAATCGTTATAAAAGTACATTTAACATTTTTTCAAAATAATAATCGACACTCATTTCGTACGTTTTAGTTTTTTCTACCGTAAATTTTAAAATTAGAAATTGTTTCATGTTTTACGCATTATTAAATGGATTTACAGTATTCATTTTTATTTAAAATTACTTCTGATCTATTTCTATTTATTTAAAATTTCTTTTGCAACTAATGAAAAATAAAAATAGTTTTCACTTTGCGTTTTTAAATTTCTTAATTTCTATATTATCGTACATAGAGCTGCAATCTTACTTTTTCTTCCATATCTTATCAAGTAAAGTTAACATAAACATTCATAAATAAATTTGTCGTTAAATTAGAAATGTAAAAATGAGTTAAAATAAAATATTCATTCATTCAATTAGCTTTCCCCCTGCCCCCGGCCATTTTTGTTGCTCCGCTGTGACGTAGTGTCGGCCATCATTCTTTTCTAATTGTTGCAGTTGTCGGCCATCATTCTTTTTCAATTGTTGTCGCATTGTCACTGATGTCGGCCATTATGGTTTTTTAATAGATGTATAGTAATCAATGATTAAA